CGTGCATCCCAATAGTAAAGCAGACATCCTGCAGTTCCTCGCAATCTGAGCGAGCAACTCCGAAACTGGAGCCCAGAACAGCAATGTCCAAAACCAAAACCGGTCTGCAAGTCTGCGCACCTGCGCTTCGGCGTGGATCCACCACAGTTGCGCGAACTCCGCACAGGGCAAAAGCCAGTGACAGCAGGCCTGAACAATCTACAATGATCTACGCATGTGGTTTATATTATCTATCTATCTATCTATCTATCTATATATATATATAGGGATATGATGGGTTCAAGCGCATTCGTGGATTGCAGCAGACACGGAACCCGGGAAGTTTGGGGCTGCAGGGTTTAGGTTGTGCATGTCTTGGGGATTCTTTCGGGAAGTGAGAAGATCGGAGACATTGCAAGTGCGCATAAAGCTGGTCGACAATCTCAAGCGCATCTTCACGCTTGCATGTACCTTCCACGAAGCGCAGATTGTGCACTCTTACGCAATGCAGACGGAAACCCACCCTGAAACTCTATGTCTCACGGCTGGCCCGCCTGTCCCACCAGCCACATCGAGAACACCGGTTCCTCGTGGAGCAGTCTCGACTTGATGCTTCGAGGATTCGAAGAGAAATTTCAGAAATCCCCCTCCTTCTGAGAGGCTATGGCTGCAGGTAGCTGCAGGCCACAAGTACATTCCCACAAGTACATTCGCTGTCTCACTTTACACGCCCAGGACCAGCAGGCATAAAGTCCTCACTTTAATCACAATCAGCCCTGCAATCCGATGCCTTGGTTGAGAGAGTCTTTCCCGCCGGCGACTCGCAGAAGCAGCTTTGCAACGGCCTGTTGTCCAGTCGCAGCTAATTGCTCAAGAGGTTTCGACGTGCAGTACTAGCTACTGTGACAAGATGTTACAAGTACCTGCTGGCTTCTCGTCGCCAGCCACTTACTGCTGCTACTACCGACTACAACCTGCTGATCTCATCGAACTGCGGTTGCTTTCTACCTGCTGCTTACTCTACAACTTGTTACACACCTGCTCGTCCTGCTGACTGCTAGCTACTTGCTCGGTTACGACTTGCCACAGTGTCACATACTGCTCAGTGGGTGGATGTTGCTGCGATGCTACTACTTTCTCGGCGATGACGACCCTCGCCACTACCCAGCCAGTCTTTGCGGTTCTCTGAGCTCAAAACCACGGAGGACTGTTGAAAGTCTCGCGCATTGCTAAGGGAAGAACTCAGGGCCCCTTCGCTCCAAGACCCTGGGACCGTGAGCTCAAAGCCTCAGTGTATGGCCGCCCGCCTGCGCTCGCTCCAATGTGTTCGGGCCCCCGTGCACGTCCTGAAGTCTTCGGGGCAGGGGGCTGGCCTCAGAATTCTCTTTGTATCAGTGCTGCTTATTGGAGACTCCCTGCATGTGACAGTCTCCGCTTAAAGCTATAAAAGCAGTGTGAAGCTTGATGGCAACTCGTGGAAGCGTCTCAGCCGTACAGAAACCTAAGCTCATGAGTGGAATACTATCCGAGAAAACACGAGTAATCTTGGTCTTCAAACTGGACGATATACTGGTTGCCATTGAGGAACGTGTGCAGCTTCGGAGATCTAGCAAATGAGAAGATTATGCTTCAGGATATGACCTGGAAAAGAAAACCACTAGTCAGGACGCTTTTCGGCATCGCTCAGACTGATGGCGAACATCGACTAGCTGTCTGGTCGTTACTGATGTAGGGGCCTTTATGGTAATATTGTTTAGGCCCCTATATTAGCCAAGGCCCCATGTGCACGTCGGGCCTCGGCCCGCTGATTACATGGGAGACCGGCTCGCCAGCATGGCTACTTCAGTTGAGCTGCAAACGAATGCCTTTCTGTTATTTCCATCTTTGAAATCGCGATCCGACGGCCTGTCAACCCTGAAGTTTGAGTTCTGTCGCATGGCAGTCCTGGCTACAGCCGACTGCTGGTGCTCGCCGAGGGGCAAGATGGGGGACACCTGCTTAGAAACAAGAAGTCAGGCCCTGACCTAAGTGCAGCTCTCGTCCTTCAGCTGGCACAGGCGCTGCGACCAGGTTAGCGAAGATTCTCGAATGGTCTTCGGTTGTCAAGGGGAGCAATCCATTCCCTTCGCAAGCAGTCCCATGAGATCTGTTTCATGCATGCAGAACCCATCAACGAACACAGCCTCACCATCTCTCGGCCTCCTTGCGCCACGAGAGTGTGTTCACAACACAACCCACTGACATCGGCCTTCTGGTCTCGGTCGTTGTGGCTGGAATAGAGCCGATCCTTTCCCAGACCGACGGGCACATGACAAGCACCGGAAACAGTATGTACGCGCTGGCTACAACATGCCGAAACACTCCAATGCGCGGGTGGCCAGTGCGGCGGTTCAACCCCCCCCGCTGCTGCTGCTGCTGCTGCCGCTGCGCGACACTCGTACGAGATGTGATGCTGCAGTTTTATGCATGCGCCTTCTTGCAGCAAGGGAGGGTCTTTTCCCAGTTCAACCTTAGCCCACAC